GGCGTAAGGCAAAGGATCTAGAAAACTCAGGGTTTAAACTATGGTATTCGGGCACAAATAGAACGAGAAACGGTGTTGGCATCATCGTGGACAAGACATTGACACAAGATGTTGTAGATGTCAAGAGGGTAGGAGATAGAATCATGGCAATCAAGATTGTAATAGGACAAGAACTTATCAATGTGATTAGTGCGTACGCACCTCAAGTAGGGTTGGATACGAGTTCGAAGGAGAAATTTTGGGAAGACCTTGGAGACTTGGTGCAAGGAATTGCTCAGACGGAGAAGTTATTTATAGGAGGAGATTTAAATGGACACGTGGGCAGGGAGACAGGCAACTATGGAGGTTTTCATGGTGGCCATGGTTTTGGGGAGAGAAACGAGGATGGGGAAGCTATCTTGGATTTTGCAATGGCATATGATCTCTTCTTAGCCAACACCTTCTTTAAGAAGCGGGAAGAACATGTGATCACCTACAAGAGTGGGTCGTCAAAAAAACACAAATAGATTTTCTTCTAATGAGGAAAAGGGATCGTATAACTTGTAAGGATTGCAAAGTTATACCAGGAGAGAGCGTGGCTAATCAACATCGCTTGTTGGTGATGGATGTACATATCAAAAGAGTGAGAAAAAAGAACAAGACTTGGAAGTGCCCAAGGACTAGATGGTGGAATCTAAAAGAAGAAAAACAAGCCATTTTCAAAGAGAAAATAACCACCCAGTGTGTGGGATAGAGAGGGGGAAGCTAACCAAATGTGGGATTCCATGGCTAGTTGTATCCGAAAAATAGCAAAAGAGGTATTAGGAGAGTCCAAGGGCTTTGCCCCACACCAAAAGGAATCTTGGTGGTGGAATGAGGAGGTACAAACAAAGGTGAAGGCTAAGAAGGAATGTTGTAAAGCCTTATACAAGGATAGGACCGATGAAAATGGTGAAAGGTATAGAAAAGCGAAGCAAGAGGCGAAGAAAGCTGTGAGAGAATCCTTCATGCTGCCTGCAAGATAGGGAGAATGTGAACAATCAGCCGGAGCTCTGATTGCTTACCTTGTCTGTTACCTCTTTCAGCAGATCCCCTAGCTCGGCGACTTGGGGGACTCCTACTACATGGTTTGTATCGCGCTTGACCAAGCCTGAAACTACAAGTAAGCTTCAAGTGACATTGATACATTACCTTGTGCATCTCCACCAGTTACAGATACCACCCCTGGATGGAAGAAGAGTACTTCCAGAGAAGATTCCACATCTACCTATGAGACAGATAAGGAAAGTCAAGCCGATACCACACTCCGGGACTTAGAAGTTTCGTGGTTACGAGATCATTCTCCCACAATATTTCCTAAAGTCATTTGTACTAAATCATTCACTTGTACTCCCTAAAGGAGAGCTTGAACCTATGTACTTGTGTAAACCCTTCACAATTAATGAGAACTCCTCTATTCCGTGGACGTAGCCAATCTGGGTGAATCACGTACATCTTGTGTTTGCTTTCCTATCTCTATCCATTTATATACTTATCCACACTAATGACCGGAGCAATCTAGTGAAGATCACAAAAAGTGACCGTTTTCGCTACCTAGGATCTATCTTGCAAGAGAGCGGAGAATTAGCTGGAGATCTCAACCATAGAATACAAGTTGGATGGATGAAGTGTAAGAGTGTATCCGGCGTGTTGTGTGATCGTCGTAGGCCACTGAAGCTCAAGGAAAAATTTTATAGGACGGCAATAAGGCCAACGATGTTGTATGGCACAGAATGTTGGGCGGTGAAGCATCAACACGTACACAAAATGGGTGTAGCGGAGATGAGGATGCTTCGTGGGATGTATGGGCACACGAGAAAGGATAAGATTGGGAATGAGGATATCCAAGGTAAAGTAGGAGTAGCCAAAATTGAAGGAAATATGAGAGAAAATCGGTTCCGGTGGTTTGGACATGTGCAAAGAAGGCCTACTGACGCTCCGGTTCGAAAATGTGACTACGGGACAGAAGTTCAGGGCCGAAGGGGTAGAGGAAGACCTAGGAAAACTTTGGAAGAGACCCTAAGAAAAGACTTGATTACTTGGATCTAACGGAGGACATGACACAAAACCGAGCGCAATGGCGTTCTAGGATTCATATAGCCGACCCCACTTAGTGGGAAAAGGCTTTGTTGTTGTTGTTGTTGTTGTTGTTGCTTGATACCTTGATGGAGAAGCCTATTTATAGGCTTTGAGAATGAATCACCACCACAAAATTTTCCCACTTAAGCACCATTACCTAATTTTCCCACTTAATGCAATATTAAAATTGAGGTGGTCTAACATATGGCCTAATTTCCCACTTAATACCATTTTAAAAATGAAGTGGTCTAACTTATGGCCTAATTTTCCCACTTGATACAATTTTAAACTTGAAGTGTGCTTGCTTTGTCATTGCCCAAATGAGAAAACCTTGTTTTGATTCGTAATGGATTGAAATGTGCTTACCTAGTCATTGCCCAAAATGAGAAGAAAAACTTGTTTTCATTCATAATGGATTGAAGTGTGCTTGCCTTGTCATTGCCCAAAAATGAGAAGAAAAACTTGTTTAATCCTCAAAGGGTATTTCTTCCAATTTGTTGAGTTACATGCCATGTGTACAATTGTGTGACACGTAGCGCATCCCATGTATGCCATGACACGTCAAAACTTTAATGCGTTGGTGAAAATTTATTTACCGAAATTTTGTTGTCTACAACATGGTTTCATTTCAAGCATTTTGGCCAACAGCTATGGCGATCCATTAGACAAATTAGATGGTTTAGTACGTGCTCGATCTCTAGCCCTATATCAACTGTGGGGTGTGGACATTGCACTTTATCAGTACCACTGACATGTATGCATTTATACACGGGTTCATTAATTATTAGGGATGGCTTTACTTTTTACCAACAAATTAATTAAATTTTAACCATGGCCGCTAACTAGCCCTGCAAATGGACTATTACTTATAAATCTGTGTACGTGTGTTTAGCATATGCACGCATAACGTGAGCATTTAGAGCATCGTATAACATGGGCAGGGTCGGTTGAGAATTTAGGGGCCCTAGGCAAGCTTTCGAAGTAGGGTTTTAAAATTATTTGATCTTCGGTTTTTTTAATATTGATTTGTATAAAAAAGAATTTGCTAAATACATAAAAAGTTCTATTTTCACGTCAAATATCATTAAAAATTAATATCAAAAGAAGATAAATATACAAACATTATTTAAACATTACACGATTCCCGTTTTTAGACACAAATGTACTAAATGTTTGCAGTCAAGAGTTTAAAATTGAGAGTGAAGAACAATAAAACTTGATGATCACGAGAGTAAAAAACAATAAAACTTGATTGACGAGTATAATAAATTCAATGCCAATTGTTTTTCTTGTGTTTTTTCTTCTAAAATCAACATCACACTAACGAATTGAATATTAAAATAATCCATTGAATAAAAAGTTATTGAAAAGAAAAATATAAAATTCAAAGTTTTGATTACCTTAAAGTACAATCTTTAAGACCATATGATAGTTGGTTTAAACATTCAATAGAAATGGAGAGAATAGAAAGTTGGTTTAAACATTCGATAGAAATTGAGAGAATGAGAAGTTGAAAGAAAAAAGATTGCCAAGAGACTCGAGTTTTATAACTTTATATGCATTTGGACAGATGAATTGGGAGTTGGATAGATGGATTGGCGGTCAATTTGAAAAACAAGAAAAATCTTATGACTGAAAGGCAGCTTCGTGTTTCAAACTCAACACCCCAAAGAAAAATGAAGCCAACATTTCCAATGCACTAACAAATGAATTATGATATTTTTTACTTTTTTTTGTATTTATATGTTAATTACAGGATATAAATTTTTTTTGGAGGCCCTTCCGAAGTGGGGGCCCTAGGCGGGCACCTACTTAGGCTACTCTTAGGGCCAGCGCTGAACATGGGTTGATATGTAGGAAGATGACAATTAAGCTAGCATATTGATGCGTACAACTCTTGTTCAAGGACTAGTCGTATCACTTACGGTGGCTGCATCAAATATAAAGGACAACGATGCATGAAAGTTGACATATAGCAATTTATTGAAATACAACTTCGTTGTTTTCTGTGGAAAAGTTCTTGTACGTCCGTTGTACATAACCTCCGAAAAACAATCCATAAGTCCGACTAGTCCACATACCAGTGTTTGTGGTTCGAAAATTTGTGTGAATCAACGAAATATGAGTTCGATAAACTACGTCAGCGTGACAAATGTAATGTATGAGATAGACGGGTGCATCTAATAGAATTTTCTAACATAAGCTGAACCATGAACTCAAACTCCAAATCGACTTGTTTAAGAAAAAAAGAAGGTTTGGAGTGCAAATGGTGAGGATGAGGAACATGCCAAGGTCATGAAAGATAAAAGTAACCTACCCAATATTCATACGAATCTCAATGTTATATGATGGATTGCAAATGGTGAGGATGAGGAACATATGCCAAGAAAGATAAAAGGAACCGACACGATATTCATACGAATCTCAATGTTATAAGATGGATTGCAAATGTGAGGATGAGGAACATGCCAAGGTCATGAAAGATAAAAGTAACCGACACATTATGAAAAGTCAACAGTAGGCAGGCAACCATCACGAGGTGGCCTGGTGGTTGGAGACAAATTTCAGGTCCGTATTCTACACGACACATCTGGGTTTGATTACTGATGTTGGTGAATCACACGGTGGCCAAAAAGAGACTGAAATGCCTATAAGACTCTTCTCGACTCCCGAAATGGTGGACTGCTATAGCAAAGTCACCAGTCAGTCACCTTTAGGAAAAAAGTAGGCAGGCAATGTAATAGCTTAATGAACGAACGGTTATATGCAAATGCTCATCTGATCTTGTGACATAACCTCTGCTTTGTTCAAGGATATGATGAAGGCATGGACAAAATTTCTTGTATATTCCTTCAGGAACAGGTATTTCGACTGAAGATCGATCCCTAGAATCAAAGTTGCGATGATAGAAAGAGAACTAGTACAAAGAAAAATAGATTCAATTACAAAAATAGCTTCAAGAACAGATGACTTGCAGTACTTTCAAAAGTGAAAATACTTAATACAAATCTAAATTAATGGTAAATACAAAACGAAAGACTAGAAAGAACAGGGCCCTAACACTCTCTCACCCCCTGAAATCTGGCTGATCTCTACAACAGTATGCATCTCTAGTTCTGTTAATTTTTCTTAAGGAGCAAATATTAGTACATATTCACTATATAGACGGTGTTGTTGACTAGGCATAACATCAGGTACTAATGCTTGAGTGCTTCCTCGAATTCGAATACTCACGCTACCTTTCTACTCATGTTACTTTGTAATCCCTTGCCGAAACCTGTGTCTTGCATCATAGCAACAAACTCACTATAATCAATTCGCCCATCCTGAAAAGCATAAAAGTAAATTATCATGAACAATTTTGTATCCATAACAGTTTCATAGGGAAGAAAAGGCGAAAGAGAATCGAGCATGTTGGCCGGGAAGTCGAATGAATTACATTATCCTGGTCAACTTCACGTATTATATCGTCTAAGTGAACATCTTCTAAGCCAAACTTCTCACAGGCCTGTTGCAGCTCATCTCGAGTAATGTACCCACTTCCATCTCTGTCGAAGTACGAGAATGCTGCGAACAGGTGATCCTCCTTCTGGACCTTGTTCAGGTGGAGCATTGCTGCTATGAATTCACCATAGTCTATGGTACCACTGTTGTCTACATCTGCCTGAATTAGTAATAGAAAAGGAAACCCTTCGTCAATCAGGAAACAGAAAACTACTAGTTGCTGATTTGACTTAGAAACCAAGACACATAGGAAGGATTCAGCCAGGTGATCTTGAAAACGGACCTCACATTATCGTTGATCTATACTGTTGTTCATGAAACTCCATCAATTGGAACGTAAGAAACATGAACTATGCCTCACTTAAACTAAGAAATTGATAAATTCAAAACTAAAGATAATATGGTAATCAAAAGGCAACCTACTCTCTCGCAGACCCTACGCTTTCTCTCCTTGTTATAACTTCCATCACACTCCACATGCATAGAATGTGTGTAATGCTTCTAGTATTATACTAGGAAACCAAATAAAACAACCAACCTCTCTCCTTATTGGTCATACTTTATAGTGTTAGCATTCCTCTATACAAAGTTTGATATAGACTATGTTTACAGAATTTTCATTTAACAGTAATAATCTTAAGATACTTCCCTTTATACAAAGCGCTACTGTACTTTAAACTAGTCTAGAATGCAGGGACATGTATTCAAAATAACTTGGGTGCACAGAGGAAAACACATCCACTCTAGCCAATGTTGCGACTCCCACATCTGTGTCATCTTATGATTCTTAATTAAAAATACGTTTTTGCATTTTCCTCACTAATTAGATAACTCTGGATGTGCACATCCTTAAATATTATGGCACTCTAGCCTATTCAACCTATACTAATTAAATCCATTAGGACAAGGAAAACTATTATTGGAATAAAACTAAAAACTGATCATGTTTTCTACAAGATTACAAAAAATCTCTATGTGGATCAAAGACTAGCACTTACTGCTTGCATTAACCAACTGATTTCAGAATCCTTGAGGTCAGCACCCACTCTTTCCAAACCATTCTTCAGTTCCTCAAGGGAGATATGCCCACTATTATCTGCGTCTATCATCCTGAACATTTCTTTGAGGCCTGCAATTTCCTCTTCAGACAGACTTTCTGCAATGACCTACAAAACAAGCATAGATGGGTAAGTCATACCCGAACAGAAGAACCAGCCATCACAACAGTCTTCAAGCAGGAATATTGCTAGGCTACCAATGATGATATCAAGCATGTTTGCTTCTTCATGTTATAAATAAAATCCATGCAACCAACCCAAGATTCCTTCACCAAACTATTAAGATCTTTCTTTTGCAGTTGTTTTAAATCACAGAATTGCATAATAAAAAAATTAGTATTGCAGAAGTTTTAATGACTTTGTCGTAACCATGCAAACCCAACCTGTAAAATCCTTTAGGATATGTTTGAAGTTTGGACAAGGGATTTGCAAGTACCAATGAATTAAAGCTAAATTAGTTAGAAATGATGCACTACAAAAGATTAGGAGAAGGGATTTGAAACAAGTAGACTGTAGACACAAAGCATTAAGATGGATTTGCAAATGACTACTTGAAAGGAGTCATTTGTAAATCCCATGTTTATGCTTTGTAATGATGCAACATTTCAAATCCCTTTATCAATAGTACATTTCTAACTAATTTACCCCAAATCCATTGGTATTTGGAAAGCCTGTTGAGAATCAATGTCAAAGTTAGGCAATGTTAGGCAATGTTAGTCAATGTCAAAGCTAGGCAATGTTAGGCAATGTTAGTCAATGTCAAAGTTAGGCAATGTTAGGTATGGTACAATTAATGTGTTTTGTGTGGTAGTAAATAATCTTAGTTTAATTAAGTAGCTTT